TTCGCCTTTTCCTTGTTACAGAATAAAAAGACTTTGCAGATAAGGTGGAACTGGATATGTCTAATTTAATGAAAAGAAGGACTAGGGGAGACATGATAGCAGATATCTCAGGGGCTGCCAAAAAGAAGAGGGAGTCAAGCTATTCTCTGAAGCACCTGAAGGTAGGACAAGAAGCAATGGGTGGGAACTAATCAAGGAGAAAAGTAACCTAGAACTAAGGAGAAATTTCCTGACAGTGAGAACAATTAATCAGTGGAACAACTTGTCCCCAGAAGTTGTGAATGTTCCAACACTGGAAGTTTTTAAGAAGTTATTGGATAACCATTTGTCTGAACTGGTATAGGATTTCCTGCCTAGGCAGTGAGTTGGACTAGAAGACCTCCAAGGTCCCTTCCAACCCTGTTATTCTATTCTATTCTATTCTATTCTATTCTATTCTATTCTATTCTATTCTATTCTATTCTATTCTATTCTATTCCATTCTATTCTATTCCAGACTGTTCCTCTTCTTGAATTCCTTCATGAATTAATTTTCCTTAAGATCTCAGTTTTCAAATTTATTTTTTTTAAATACTTTATTGAATTTTCCAAAATAAAAATAAAATATACAATCTCTATCACCTTTCAGAGGTACAGTGTTTGTACAATTTAGTGAGACAAATGTTAAATAAGCTTCATCCTTAGCTATACACTATTCTATACAATATAACTTTAATTCAAGTACAAAACAGGTCATATCTTAAAGTCATGTTTTTATCTTGTTCTTCAACCAATTATACCAATTTCCCCATACATCATAATATTTAGAATTGTCCTCATTATTTAACTCACTCGTCAGTTTCGCCATTTCTGCGCACTCAAGGATTTTGTTTATTAGAGTTTCTTCTGAGGGTATAGATTTATTTTTCCAGCATTTTGCAAAGGCTAATCTAGCCGCGGTTGTGATTTGGATTATGAGTTGCGTTTTGTTGTTATTAAGGCCATCTTCAGTTATGCCCAAGAGGAAAAATTCTGGAGCAAGGACTACCTCCTGTCCCGTTATTTCACAGAGCCAGTGTTGGATTTTTGACCAGTACTTTTTGGTCTCTGGACAAGTCCACCATAAATGATAGAAGGTGCCGACCATTTTTCCACATTTCCAACATGTGGCTGAGAGATTTGGAAACATTTTCGCTAACCTAGCTGGGGCTAGGTACCACCTGTGTAACATTTTATAGTGGTTTTCTCTAAATGTTGCCGATTTCGTTATTTTGTAGTTCCTATTCCAGGCTATCTCCCAATCGTTAAAATTTAGTTTATATCCCAGGTTTTTTTCCCAGATATTAAGCTGATTTTTTGCTATGGTCTCTGCCCTATCCTCATCTAATAGGAAGTTATATATTTTTGTTAACATTTTCTTGTCTATTCCCCAAATAATTTTATCAAAATTTCCGTGTTTAGCTTCTATACCAAATTTGTCTCTATCTTTTTGGAATCTTGAATTAATCTGAAGATAGTTCCACCAATCCAAGTTAAAACCCTGGTCCCTCAATAGATCCAGCGATTTAAGTTTCCCTTCTTCATCAAGGATGTCCTTGTATGTGCCCAATTTATAATTGTCTCTCCTGTTTGGAGCCGCCAACACTTCCATAATGGAAAGCCAGTTGGGTACCTTAGTATAGATCCTCTGTCTAATTTCCTCCCATGTGCGAATAAGAGTCTCCCTAATTTTGTGTTTATGAAAATAGGATTTTTTCTTGTTCTTTATATCCCAGAGGTAAGAGTGTCATCCTTCTAGAAGGTCATGTCCTTCTAATGTCAGGATTCTCCTATCTTGTAACTTGATCCACTCCTTGATCCAAATTATTTTTGCCGCCTTTTGATATAATTCCCAATCGGGGAGCCCAAATCCTCCCAAATTCCTTTTCGCTTGGAGTATCTTAAAGGAGATCCTCGATTTCTTACCCTCCCATAGGAAGTTTCTAATATGTTTGTTCAGATCCAAAAAGAATTTTTTATCTAAGGTTATCGGGATGTTTTGAAATAGGAACAAAATTTTAGGTAAGATGTTCATTTTAATCGCTGCTATTTTACCGATCAGGGACAATTTTAGCCTTTTCTATCTTTCAAGGTCTTGGTATATTTTCTGGAGTAAGGGGATATAATTATCATCTTTTAGTGAGGAGAATCTCGCAGTAATCCAAATTCCCAAATATTTTATTTTCTTAACTGCCTGGAGGCCTAATAGGTCTTCCAATTTCTTCTTTTGTAGATCTGTCATGTTTTTCACTATTATTTTAGTTTTCTTCCTATTGAGTTTAAGGCCCGCCACTTCTCCATAATCCTGTATTTCCTGCATTAGTTTTAAACCGGATTCTAATGGATCTTCTATTATGAGGGCCACATCATCTGCAAAAGCTTGTGTTTTGAATACTTCCTTCCTGATCTTTAATCCTTTAATTTCTTCATTGGCTCTAATTTTTCTAAGAAGCACCTCTAATGCCAAAATATAAAGTAGGGGGGATAGGGGGCATCCCTGCCTCACTCCTTTTTGGATCTGGAATATCTGAGTTTTGTCTCCATTTATTAATATGTTTGCCCTCTGTTTATGATAAACATTCTCGATCATCTTCCTAAAATTAGTCCCGAATCCCATTAGGTCAATTTAGTTGATCATAAAGGTCCAATTCAAATTGTCGAATGCCTTTTGGGCATCGATGAACATTAGGGCCAGCTGTTTTTCAGGATGTTGTTCATAAAATTCTATGGTGTTTAAAACAATTCTCAAGTTGTCTCTGATCTGTCTCCCTGGTAGAAAACCGTTTTGATCTTTGTGGATCCACCGATTTAGAATTTTTTTAAGCCTCTCCGCAATTATGTTCATAAACAGCTTGTAGTCTGCATTCAGCAGTGAGATGGGTCTGTAATTTGATATCTGCTTCGGGTCGGCACCTTCTTTCAGTATGAGCGTCAAATACACTTCCCTCCAAGTATCTGGGGTTGATATACCAGCTAGGGCCTCGTTAAATATTTCTAGTAATTTTAGTTTCAGGGCTTCATCGAATTTTTGATATATTTCCCCCGGGAGTCCATCTGGGCCTGGGGTTTTGTTCTTCTTTATTTTAGCGAGAGCAGTTTTTAATTCCTCTATAGTGATCTTTTCGTTCAGCATTTCTTTTTCTTCTTCAGTGATTAGAGGTAAGCTGGCTTCCAACAAATACTGTTCTACCTTGCTTGACTCAATTCCTTCGTTTTTGTATAGGCATTCGTAGAATTTTCTTATGCTTTCTAATTTGTCTTCTTCCTTCGTCAGAAAGTTACCCTGAGAGTCTTCTAACACTAGTATTTGATTTTTTTCCTTCTCTTTTTTTAATTTATACGCCAGCCATCTCCCCGACTTATTAGCGTTCTCAAAGCAATAATGTTTAGATCTTTTTATTTTTAGTGCCATCTCCTCCTGGTCCAATAAATTCAGTCTATGTCTCGCCATCGACCACTGTTGTTTAATCGCCTCATCTCCCGGGCATTGCTGGAGTTCATAATCAGCTTGTAACAGCTTTTTGGTATGCTCTTCCCTGATCTTTCTTTTTTCCTTGTTTTTGAAGGCAGTATATGAGATGGCTACCCCTCTCAAGTAAGCCTTCATGGTGTCCCATACAATTTCTTTGGCTGTCTCTTGGTTGCCGTTTTCTATGAAAAAACGTTTAACTTCTTTGTTCAATTTCAATATAAACTCTTTATCATTTAACAGGTTGGTCCTTAAACTCCATCTCTGTTGTTTTCTCTTGGTATCATGGTGCCAACTAACTTCAAGAAATTTGTGGTCTGCCCAGGCATTAGTACACATATTAACCTTTTTAATTTCTAGGCCCAGTTTCCTGGTAGCCCAGACCATATCAATTCTAGACCAAGAGTTCTGTGGCACTGAGTAAAAGGTAAATTGTCTATCATGGGGATGTAAGGTACGCCACATATCTATTAAATTTATCTCATCCACCAAGTCAAAAAAAGTCTTTGGTAAGGGGGATCTTTTATTCTTTTTAATTGAAACACAATTATAATCTTTATTTGGATCTACAACTCCATTGAAGTCTCCTAGCATGCATATTTCATTATGTGCCCATTTTGCCAGCTGTTCATGCAATTTCCGATAGAATTTCCCTTGTTTTTTGTTTGGGGCATAAAACCCTACCAATAACAACCTAGAATTACCTCTCGTTATTTCTACTATTAGTATTCTCCCTTTTTCATCCTTATATTTACATTCTGCTTCTATTCCTTTCTTGACATAAATAGCGACCCCCCTTTTTCTTTTCTCGGCTAGTGAGAGAAATACTTTACCAAATTTGGTATAATTTAGATAGTTGGCTTCATCTTTTTTTATGTGTACCTCCTGAATACAAATTATATCGGGATTCTGTTCCGCCAATTTCGACAATATTATCCTTCTTTTTTTATAATCATTTAAGCCATTCACGTTTAACGATATGATCTTTGTATCGTTCATTCCTGTAGTTTGTCTCTAGCCTCTAGTTCTTGTTTACCTTTAAAGTTACTGCTCTTACTGGTCTGACTTTTTTCCCTTTTTCTTCTGTGTCTTCCTTTTTCTTCTCCTCTTCTATGTCTTCCCTTGTGCTTTGTTCTTGAGATGTCTCTTCTTCCGTATTCGCTGCTTCAATTTCCTCCTTACTAGTTTGTTCCTCTTCCCCTCCCCTTAATTGCTCTAGGAAGTCTTGGGCATCACTTAAGCAGTCGATTTTAATTTTCCTCCCTTGCCAAGATATTAACATTCCTTCTGGCAAGAGCCACCTAAATATTATGCTTCTCCTATTTAGTTGGTTTGTCAGAAATCTGTAGTTTTTCCTCCTTTCCCTCACTCTCCTTGGAATTTGTTTTAGGATATTCACTTCTTTTCCCCCATAGATAATTTTTTCCTCCCGGGCTATATTATACAGAATGTCTCTCACTTTTTTCCTAGCGAACCTAACGTGGACTTCTCTAGGGAGCCTATTTTTTCTCACGTAATTTGTTTGGACTCTGTACACCTCGTCGATCTCTCGAATTATTTCTTGCTTATCTTGTTGAAGGGTCTCTGCGATCAACTCGGCCATCTTATCTCCTAGGTCCTCTTCTTTATCTTCCAATATCTTTTGGAATCGAAGGTAAAATGAGGCCTTATCCATCTCAAGTTGTATCAGGGCGTCTTCTGTTTCTTTGTTCTGCGCCAACAGAGTTTGATCAACTATGTCCAATTTCTTCTCGTTTTTTTTCAATCCTTTGTTCTGCTTTTTGAATTCTGTTCTCATTACTGGCAATCGCAATTTGAAACTCATTCATTTTAGCATCAAGTGCACGTATGTCTGATTTCAATTCAGAATGGCTGTTCAAAAGTTTCTCTTGCATCGCAAGCATAGTTTCTTGTATTGTTAGCAGAGACGATTGTACCGTTTGCAGTGTTGGAGTTACTGGGGGTTTATCTGTTTTCTGGAGACCTTCTACTGATTTCTGGGTGGCTGGAGATGACATTGCTAACGTGGGGATAGATGGCACTTTTTTACTGGTTTTTGCAATTGTTGATGTCAAACTTGCCATTTCTTTCAAAAGCGCTTTTTGGTCTCTAATTATATTTTCTATCTTTCTCCAAATAATCATCCAGTGGCACTTGCCACCTTTTGCTCCAAGGCACTATCTTAAGTCCTAGCCTCCTTTATTGATTCCCAATAAGCTCTTAATAGATTTCAAATAAAGCTTAATTTGCAAATTACTATAAAAGGATAATTCAACGTTTCCAACAAACAGCAATCACTATCTATAAGATTCTTATGGAGCTAGGTTCAACCTTAATATAAGTGTTAGTATAAATGAATTAATAAGTTAATAAGTTAATAAATTCTCTCTATAGTTCTTATATATCTAAATTCAAACCTTAATATAAAATGTTAATATAAATAAATAACTAAATATTACCCATAAAAATAAATATTTTAGATTAGATAAATTAGATGAATATGATAAATGTAACTAGATAGATAGATATATTAAATTAATTCATTAAATACAAATCTAAGTCCTTATTTATAACTATGTCTGATAGCTATTTGATAGGATCAGTACTTACTTAATAAATTTCTATATTCAATATTTCTTAACACTTAGCGAATCTAGTTAATAGTAATTTTTTTTTTAGTAATTTTAAAAATATTTATAAAAGCCAAAGTCAAAGTTCTGAGTATTAGAGTCACAAATACTCGAAAAGAGGAGGAGGGAAAATAAATAGAAGTATATATATGTTGTTATACAGTGTTCACGAAGTTGTAGGTCTTCACCTCGCCACTCTACTAGGTTCCAACTAGGTTCCGACGCTTCTCAATGGTAAATCTCACTGCTAGAGCGTCTCCTTATTAGTCCTCTGCTGTTTCACTCTTCCAGTCCAATGGACGCACTTCCTGTTTCTCTGAAGCTCTCAAAAGCAAATCACAAATTTCTCCTGCTTCCTTTCCGCCTCGTTCGCCAAACACAACACCAGCCGCACCAATAGACTTTTCTTTTCTTTTCCTTCTCAACGCACCGTCTGGAGCTCTTTAAGAAGACGATCTGCTCCCTCCGTATCTCTCGTCAGTTCGTTGGGTTGTCGGGTCTCTGTAGTTGCGATCTGCTTTACTCTCTCCGTCGCCGCCTCATGCCAAGTCAAGCACTGCTCTCCCGACTCCGCCGACCTCCTCTTTCAGTGCTTGATCACTCCGGGGTATGGGGATATGGCTTTAGATCTAACACAGCACCTCCGATCTCTTTCTTAGCTTCCCATCTCTTGCTGGCTATTGCAGCTTCAGGCCCGCCATTAGCGGCCAGCTCACCGCGTTGGATCGACAGAGCCGCCCGGTCCAGCGGGAAATGGTCGCTCCCCACTTTCCCACTAGCCTGGCTTCCTCTCTTGTCCGTGGGACTCTCTGGGTCCCGCGCCCCCAATGGGATCCCCAAAACACGGTGATAAGAGGTGTTGAGGAGCAGTGAGCACTCACTCAACACCCTATCGCTGCAAGTCACCAACCGGAAGTCCTCAGTTTTCAAATTTATTTATCCAATTTATATTTCTGTCTATTTCACACAGAATGCTAAAAAAGCAAGAGAAGGGTATATCAAGATGCGACCTACCATGCAACCAGCACTTAAGACCCTGTTTACAAAGGGATTCCCACAACTGTTGAAAAAATCACATTTTAAGGGATTTTTAGAAGGCTTCATAATTTGGAGATACTCTCAATTTCAGAATAGTTTCATTTTTGTTCTGGAGGGGGTTGTGCTACCTGCTCTGAAGTAGGCAGTGTTGCAACCCTTCCCAAGAGGAACTCCATGGATCCAACCATGTTAGAAAATGTTTATCCTGTGTCCAATATTTTAGAGCAGTTTATTGAGAGCATGGTTGGTGGGTCAATCATCAATAAATGAGTTTAAACATTGTTGGGATAAAAATGTCCATCGTTTGAGAAAAATTAGAAAATTAAATGAAAATCAAAAAAGAAAAAAGAAAACAAAAAAAGAGGCAGACTTAATGAAGCACTAGATCTTTTTCTGCCATCAATTTTCTGTTTCTATGTTTGTATCCCATACTCACTAGATTGTTCTTGGTAACCACCTGAAATTTACAGATGACCTAGAATGCAATCACAGACACAGTGATGTTTCCCTATGTTCTCCCATAGTACACCCCTGTTCAAACTGCACAAGCTCCCAGTTCTTTTTCAAGTGCAATTAAATTCACCTTCAAAAACCTACATGAGACAGAATCAGGCTATCTGCAGGGCTTCTTCTGTAAAAGACAGACTAGAAATAAAAGTTAAAATAAACAAAAAAAAAAGTAAGAGAACACCTGTTGGATCTTGATGAATACAAATCACCGAGACCTGATGGATTACATCCCAGAGTTCTAAAGGAGCTGACAGATGTCATCTCAGAACCACTGTACCAGATCTTTCAAAAATCCTGGAGCACTGGGGAACTACCAGAGGACTGGAAAGGAGCTGATGTGGACCCAGAAAATTACAGACCAATCAGCCTAACATCAAGACCCAGGAAGATACTGGGAAAGATAATAATAATTTAAAAAACCTGCCAATATCTAAAATAAATAAATAAATAAATAAATAAATAAATAAATAAATAAATAAATAAATAAATAAATAAATAAATAAATAAATAAATAAATAAATTTCTATACCGCCCTTCTCCCGAAGGACTCGGGGCAGTGTACAGCCTATTTAAAAACACAAGACAAAACAGCGATTAAAATTTAAAAATTTAAAATGATTAAATAGATTTGGCTCAATTTAAAACCCCAGAAATTTAAAATACCCCAATTTAAAACTATTATGTTGATAGCCCGGCCTGGTGGAACAACAGGGTCTTCAATGCGCAACGAAACACCCGGAGGTCGGAGATGTTACGTATTTCTAGAATACGTAAGATCTCATCTAGAAATGAGTAAAGTAATAACTAGAAGTCAACATGGGCTTGTTAAAAACAGATCATGCCAAACCAATCTTATTTCATTTTTCAACATAGTGACTAAATTAGTAGATCAGCAGAATACTGTGGACATAATATACTTAGACTTCAGCAAGGCATTCGACAAAGTAGACCACAATCTACTTCTTTGTAAGCTAGAAAAAAGTGGGATAGATAGCATCACCATTAGATGGATTTGTAACTGGTTGACAAACTGTACTCAGTGAGTAGTCCTTAATGGTACCACATTCACATGGAGGGAAGTAAACAGTGGGGTACCACAAGCAGGGGTTAAATGATCCTGGTTCGGACCCGATTGCCCAATCTGGTAGCGATGGTGGCGGATGATTCGGAGAACTGATAGCAAACATCCCTGCCCCCCCCATGCCAAGCTGAGCTGCGGGATCATCAGAGGCTTTTTAAATTTATTTTTAAAAGAATTTTTTTCTACAACCTCTTTGGCCACTGACCACAAGGTTCTGTCCTAGGCCTAGTTGTCTTCAATATCTTCATAAATAACTTCGATGAGGGAATAGAAGAGGAACTTACCAAAGTTGCAAATGATACTAAACTGGTAGGAATAGCCAACACCCTAGATGATAGGCTCAAGAGCCAGATGGATCTTGACAGACTTGAACACTGGGCCCTATCTAACAAAATGAAATTCAATGTAGAGAAAAGTAAAGTCTTACACTTAGGCAAGAAAAACCAAAAGTACACATATAGACTGGGTGAAACCAGGCTTAATAGCAGTAACTGTGAGAGGGATCTTGGCATCTTAGAAAACAACCAATTAAATATGAGCCAACAGTGTACGGCAGCAGCCAAAAACATCCAATGCAATCCCAAGTTACATTAACAGAGGGATACAATCAAGATCAAGTGATGTACTAATACCACTCTATAAAGCCTTGCTACGTCTCCCAGGCATTTGGGATCAGTTAAGGTCAATGCAAGATAAGAATCAGAGAAGTGAGGTTGCAGTACCAGATATTTCTTCTTTTAATTTAATTTTGTCATTGTTCTTGCTTTTATAATTGTATATATTGGGGAATATTAGAAGAATAGAATAGAATGGAATGGAATGGAATGGAATGGAATGGAATGGAATGGAATGGAATGGAATAGAATAGAATAGAATAGAATAGAATAGAATAGAATAGAATAGAATAGAATAGAATAGAATAGAATAGAATAGAATTCTTTATTGGCCAAGTGTGCTTGGAATTTGTCTTGGTGCATACTCTCTCGGTCTACATAAAAGAAAAGATACATTCGTCAAGAATCATAAAGTACAACAATTAATGATAGTCACAGGGAAAAAATAAGCAATCAGGTTATAGTCATACAGTTATAAGTGGGAGGAGATCGGTGATAAGAACGATGAGAAGATTAATAGTAGTGCAGATTTAGTAAACAGTTTGACAATGTTGAGGGAATTATTTGCTTAGCAGAATGATGGCGTTCGCAAAAAAAACGGTTCTTGTGTCTAGTTATTCTGGTGTACAGTGCTCTATAGCATTGTTTTGAGGTAGGAGTTGAAACAATTTATGTCCAGGATGCGAGGGGTCTGTAAATATTTTCACAGCCATCTTTTTGACTTGCACAGTATAGAGGTCCTCAATGGAAGGCAGGTTGGTAGTAATTGTTTTTTCTGCAGTTCTAGTTATCCTCTGAAGTCTATGTCTGTCTTGTTGGGTTGCAGAAACAAACCAGACAGTTATAGAGGTGCAGATGACAGACTCAATAATTCCTCTGTAGAACTGTATCAGCAGCTCCTTGGGCAATTTGAGCTTTCTGAGTTGGCGCAGAAAGAATATTCTTTGTTGTGGTTTTTTGATTAGGTTTTAGTTGATAAATGTCCATTTTAGGTCTTGAGATATGGAAGAACCTAGAAATTTGAAGGTCTCTACAGTTGATACTGCGTTGTCTAGTATTGTAAGAGGTGGTAGTATGGGAGGGTTTCTCCTAAAGTCTACCACCATTTCTAAGGTTTTGAGTGTGTTCAGTTCAGATGTCAGCAC